ATAATAAGCGTAGGCATCAGTTCTGTACCGTCACTGTCAAACAAAAAGACTTGGCCTCTACATGCGCAATAATGTATTTGTTTTCTGAGTAGGGTTGTCACCTATTAAAAAGGTAAAATATTTTCGCCGTTCGTTGGATTACAAAATGAGATACCAAATGAAAGTGCATGATTTTCACATGTACAAAAACTTTATTATTTTTTAAGTAGGGTTGCCGCCTATTTAAACTTACTATTTTCTATACTTAGTATAAAGGAAAGTTGATATATTTTGACCATGCCACTGAACGGATTTAGACGAATTTTTTCATGTATAATCTGTATCGATAGGAATTTTATCTTTAGTACGTTGAGTTTCTATACGGTTGTCACCTGTATAAAAAATTATAAGACCCGCACTGTTCGTTGGATTATCAGAAATGAGGTGTCAAATAAAATGTCTCGGCTAAGTGCCAATAATGTATTACTTTTTGAGTAGGGTTGCCACCTATTTAAAAATTACTGTTTCACTCGAACATGGTATGAATACAAAAAGGGAGATGTGAAGTGAAAAGGCTTGGCCTCAAGATAATCTATTATTTTTGAGTAGGGTTGCCACCTTTTTAAAAATAAGCTTTTATTTTTTTAAAGGGGCTGCCACCTATTTAAAAATTAATACCTAGCATATAATTCGTGAACGCGCTCTTTCTCCAAAATAGTGTTTTTTTTGTTAGGTGCTATATTCAAAAAAAGCGTAAGGAGCTGATGCTTTTTTTGTTTGCATATGTGAGCATGTGTGTTAGCTACATTTGTTGGGCTTTCAGTGATAGACAGAATTTATAAATCAGCTGTGCCTACTTTGATGTTTTTATTTCATTAGGTTCACGTACATATATACAAGTAAAATACTTATCCTCAGGATGTGTAATAATGTATTATTTTTCTGAGTAGGGTTGCCACCTGTTTAAAAACTATAAGATCTTCACCGACCGTTGGATAAAAAAAATGAGGTACCAAATGAAAATGCGTGGCCTTTGCATGTACAAAAGCTTTAAGTTTTTTGGGTAGAGTTACCATCTTTTTAAAATTACTATCTTCTATACATAGTATAGAGATATTTTAACAACGCTATTGAACGGATTTAGACAAGTTTTGCTATGTATATAATAAACGAAGTACATGATGACATATGATTTCTTTCTCCAAATACGTAAATGTACATACATATGCATACATTCCGTGACCGGCTAGCTATAAACATAATTTTGTCCGTTTTGGAGATGCAAATTTTTAGCTATATATGTATGTCGTACGTATGCACTTGTAAATATAGTTCAAAAGACGACTTATATTGCCATAATGCTGAATTTACACTACGCTTTGAAAAACTATGTACACACATATATGTATTTCTTTTATGACCTACATAATTTTTACGTTTGATAAGTTGACCTAGTTAAAATTAATTTGTATAACACACTTAACGAATTTCTTACCTGTCCTTCTGAGTCGACTTGCCAAGATGTGAGGCACGGCGTGCATAGTAGATGCCCGCAAGGCTCAATGCGTATATCCTTATCATTCTCGGCACATATTTTACACAATTGAAATGTGCTACCTGTTGGATCGAAATTTTTTTAGTTGGGTTTGTTACCTAGCATTTCTTCTTTATATATGCATATAACATACCCATTTCGCAGTATAGCTCATATTGTTCTTGTGTAACTGTAATATGATCTTCCGTAGGACTCTGCACTGCCGATGATAGATCGGGGTTACAAGCTTGACCATCCGGGTACAAATAAAACCCCTCCCTATAATAAATTACATATTGCATCCAAATAGGGTTATTTCGAAAATGTAACGAAAATGGAAACCCACCTGTGACCATCTAACAATGCTTGACACAATGATTTGTTTTGCGGTATGGTTTGCAATATTTCTCCATCGGCGGTAACGTACCCTATCGCCCACTGCCCGAGGCGAGTACATGATAATCTGCATAAATAAATGTTAGTGATACATATCAATAAAATAGAATATTAATAACCTACCTGAACACATAGCTACCAGCCTTGTGGATGTAACGCTGCAATCGCGCTTTAACTTCGTCGTAAGTCAGAAACGCTACATATCCAGGGTGTGTGACAGCCAATATTTGCCAATTACGTAGCAGCGTTACCCACGGTTGAAAGAGTCTCGTAAACACGTCAAATTCAAAATTTGAAATATAATCGTTGCACGTTAAATCTATTGTGGTTTTTAGGGCCATTGCTTCTAGACCAGATGATATAGGATGTACTTTGTTCAACTCTTGTCGAAAGATTTTCCATGGGACCAAAGTACTGGAAGCATTTATCAAATTTAAATTTAATAACAGAAGTTAAAGATTGAAATATTATTTCAATTTAGTATTAATTCTTACCTAATTTCAAAAGGAAATTTATACAAAATAAAATATTTTTTCAAATGATCTGAACACTTAAATACGCTGTTTTTTGGGAATCATGCTGGAGTAGCAGTCCTTATCTATATATAAATCTAGGTCGTTATGGTTATTTTTTTATGTGTTATTTTGTGTACCCGTGGGTTTGGTCAGTTTATTTTCTTTTGGAAAGTTTGGAAAACATTTGTAATAATAATAATGATAGATTGGCGCTAACACATTCACATGTTAGGGTTTGGCCAAGCTGCTCCTTAGAAATCCTTAGTGCCTACGTTAAAATCGGTACATAGGGAAATACTCGCATTAACAAGCAAAGTAAGAATTGTAATGGTCTTATTTTTGTTTTACAATGAGAGTTTCTAACTTATATCCTTTATTTTGAATGGACAAACCTTTGTAGTTGGAAATGTTTAATGTATACTGTTTTTTACCTGTTTCCAAAGTTGAGCTTCCAAAACTCAGCAGCATCTGCCTTCGTAATTCGAAATTGATCACCGGCAAATACTCCATTGGGGAATATCGCCTTCAGTTCGCTAAGCATGTGCGAAAAAACTAAACTAAGCTTAGTCAAGTTTCTTCGATAATGTGAATTCTCATCAAACATTTTCTCCTTTCCTTCCTTGAACAATTTGATGGCCTGTTTGCACTTGCGCATCAGGTTGTTAATGAAAACATTGAAGTGCTCATTGGCATGTAAGACATGCATCTGATCCTCATTCTTAGAGTATATGAGACGCAATCGCTGATACGTGTCGGGCAGTATGTCCAATATGAAGGGGGGACTATTTTTTAAATTCATTTTGGGCTGCTGACACAGCTTTACAACTTTGTCCATTAACTTCCATGTTTTCTCTAACGTTTTCTTATCAGTGGATAACCGCTGCTGTGTACATGCTTCGGAGAACGCACCTTGTATTTTGGAGAAGAACGAATTTATATTCTTCGTTTGCTGTATGCGACTAGTGCGACTCGTCGCCATCTTTTCACATTTGACTTTCCGGGGTCGGGGTTGGGGCGCTGAACTGCCTCAGCCGCGACGCTGACGTTGCTCACAATAGCTGCAGACGGGTGTTTCTTCTTCTTCCGTTGCCTCTGCTATTGCGGACTGCTTCCTTCTTGCAATTGCTCCAACCAATTTCACTAATTTCTGCTTTCTCCAACTCCAAATACAATCTATAGTTTCACATTCGCCCTTTGCTCACTATATTGGGCGAATTTTGAAGCCCAATTATTCCTTTTTGTCGATTTGTAACACGAAAATCAAAAAACGTCGCCTTTTGCTCTTGGCAAAGAATATGAGTCTGATTTTTCAATGAAAAACAATTACCATTGCTGCATATCAGCTAGCTCTATCTGTGCTTTTTTATCACATTCGATTTTAAGGAGAAGCAAAAGTTGCAAAACAGAGAAAACCATAGATCACTCAGAGTTGCACTTGTAAAAGAAGGGTTGCTTATAACTATAATTGCAATTTTCAAGCCTAAAGAAAATTGCAGTTGGTAACGCGACACAAAGACAGTGTTCGTTTTTATACCCGAACGCACGTGTGCACAAGGGTATTATAACTTTGTTGACATAACGGTTGTTTGTAACAGGCAAAACGAAACGAGATAGATATAGACAAATGTATAAATAAATGATCAGAATGAAAAGATAAATCGATTAAGCGGTGACTGTCTCTCTGTCCGTCCGTCTACGCACACGATAAATCGAGTAAAAATCGAGATATCTTAACAAAACTTTGTACGTGCACTTCTTTTGGATGTAGGACGGATGCTATTGAAAATGGGCGAAATCGGACAATAACCACGCCTACCCCCCATATAACGGTAATTTTCGGAAATACGAAAACTGCGATATTTTAGTAACAGCTGGAGATAATTCACTCAAAACTGATATTTACAATGATTTTTAGACGAAAAATAAAAGTGTTAAACATTTTTGGAAAATAGGCGTAGCCTCGCCCACTTATGGTTACATGTGTATATCTTAGTAACCGTTGCACCAATTTCTTCCAAACTTGGCACAGTTGTTGGTCCTGGTACAGCATACCAAATGGCCGAAAATTTTTAAATTCGGACAATAACCACGCCCACATCCCATATAACGGTAATTTAGAGAAATACGAAATCCTCGATAAATCAGTAAATATTAAAGCTAATTTATTCAAAATTGATGGTTGCAACAATTCTTTACCAAGAAATAAATTTAAGATAAAATTTTGGAAAATGGGCATGGCACCGCCCACTTATGATCACATATATGGATCTCGCTAACCGTTCTGGCAATTTGTACCAAGTATGAGTTGCGATCCAGTACGAGTCCGGACTAGTCAGAAATAGTCAGAATCAGTCAGATTTTACTGGAAATCGATCCCGACTGACTATTGAGAGGACAAAAAAGAGAGTAAATACAGTTCTCTCTCTGTCAGAAGTTACCAGTTTTAGTTCGAGAATTTTTTGCTGGTAAATGTGTCAAACGATCAGCTGTAGTGTGTTTGGCAACCAAATTGTAAACAAAAGAAAAGTGCACTCTGCTAATTCATGTTGAAAAGTATTTAATTACTTGTTTAAGTGGATTCTAATGAATTTGAAAGTATTTTTGGTTATTTACATGTGTGAGCTGAGTGTGTTTACATACAAAATAAGCAAAAATTTACAACCAAAATTTGGAGGTTATGTTGAAGTTGACAGAAGTTACCATTTTTTACTAGAAAGCGATCCCGTACTTTTCAATGTTACTCTCTCGCTCTGTGCGAATTTTTATTTTTTGACAGTTTTACTAGTCCGAGTCCGAGGAATACGGGATTGCGGCTATGGTTATTGTGCTTGCCATACAAAAGCAAACCGTTGAAAATAATTGAAATCGGACTAAAATTGCGGCCGCTTTTCATACAACGGTAAATTTCAGAAATGCTTGAAATTTCAATATTTCGATATTTAAGGACGCTAATTTACTTAAAATTTATACACCCTGGCTTATCATGTAGCGGTAGCTTTCGGAAAGGTCGAAAATATATATTTAATACTTGCGTCGGGTATTTAATGTTCGGCTCCGCCCGAAGTCAGACTTTCTTACTTGTTTATTTATTATTTTTCGTGACAATCAAAATTTTGAAAATTGTGCGTGAGCAATTAATTGGAAAATTTCACTAACTGCCGCACTCAGAAACACTCGTGAGATTAGCTCTAAAGGGCACCTAACTAATGATCTCCCCCTAATTAATGTTTCCTCATTATAAGGGCTCATTAGTAATTTAATTAGGGGATTCCCTTAAACTCGTCAAGCCTTAAACCGTGTAAAACTGGTAAGTTTATGAGGCTTTTATGGGAACGCCCACTTTGCAAACAGGTGTAAATAGGTGCGTAAAGTATTTTCCATAACATCCCGCTAAAATACAATGAACAATGCCTAAAAATGACAGAAAATCTAAGTCAATACAGTAAGTGGATGAAATTCATTTATTCATTCAAAAACTCATAAATCTACAAAACCGTATTTTTTAACCTAAATCGACACATCACGACCTCTAAATGACCTTTAAAATATCTATAAAAATAGGCAATAATATTTCTCATAAAAACAAATAAAATAAAAAATTCCAAAAAAAAACATTTTCGATGAGCACCCTAATATTATGTGCGTATGCACATAAGTAAATTTTTTTTGTAGCTGCGTTTGAAAATATATTAAGGGAGTTCAAGATTTGTAGCATTTTAGATGTTTTTTATCTCATTTGGCCATAATGCGTGGTTTGGTTGAAATAAAGTGCGCCAGATAGTTTGACGAATATTTGAGACCATGCTGTGACAGAACTGTTTGAAAGTGAGCAGTCAAATCAACAGAACAGAAAAACCAAAAAAGACTTTTCAGCTATCCTAGAGGTTAACTCTTGATATTGGCGCAGTATACTATAATAGAATTTAATTTTATTTGCCAAAAGATTAAATTTATTTGCCAAAAGATTAAATTTAATTGCCAAAAGATTAAATTTATTTGCCAAAAGATTAATTTTATTTGCCAAAAGATTAGTTTTATTTGTCAAAAGATTAAATCTATTTGCCAAAAGATTAAATTTATTTGCCAAAAGATTAATTTTATTTGCCAAAAGTTTAACTTAATGTGTGAATGCTATATAACAAATATTACAATAGATTAGCGCTTACACACATATTAATGTTTGGCCGAGCTTCTCCTCCGACTTGTGGCGTGCTCCTTGATGTTGTCTCACAAAGCGGAGGGACCTACAGTTTTACGCCGACTCCGAACGGCGATTGCATTTTTATGAGAAGCTGTTTTTCATGGCAGAAATACACTCGGAGGTTTGCCATTGCCTACCTTTTTCTATATTTTTTTGCGATGTTACTTTGACCAGGTCTTGAACCTAGGCGTTGCAGAGTGGAAGCGCGCACTGCTTACCACTAGACCACAGCGGCCGACAAATATTACAAAGTCCACATTTATTCATTAAAAGTATAGATAGCGTTAAGTTAATTTTCTTTTACAGTTATTTTAATTTAATCTGGGTGCAATATAGAGTAATAGCTTATGCATACGTATCTAATAAATAAAAGCAAAGTAAGTGCGCCTGGTCCACACTGGAGAAGTGAAACTTACTTTACATGTCTATGGTGTTTGTCTCATAATCAATATACATTTCGACAGCAAAATCGATAATAAAACCGATAAAAATATCGAATATACTATCGATAAGCTCCGAGCATCCCTAACTGCTCTATAATCCCGAAATAATTCCCAAATTGAGTCCCTGTGTCTCTATCTATGTATATCCTCTTCTCTATAATTACCTTTATTTTAATCTTTTTTCTTCTATTTATCTTCATCTTTACTTTTATCGGTGTCCTCATCCTCATTTTTTTTCTTTATAATTATCTTTGTTTTTAGGGGTGTCAAGTTTTCGTATTCTTTTCTCAGCTTCTCCACATGCATATTGCGTAGTCTTTCTTAAAGCAGCTAAAATTTTTTCCAAGAAAAGAAAACGCCATAAGTGTTAAGGCCGGTCCACATAGAACTTTCGCGTTGGCTTTGGCTTTGGCGTTAGTTTGACAGAACGCACGATAAAAGTATGCTTGCTACAATCAACGCTTGGCAGCGAATGCTTTGAGCACTAGATTTAAATACTAACGACATAAATAATATTTCATAAATAAATTAATATTTCATATCAATAATTGCATGAAACTTGATATTTCTTACCTACATTTGATTAAAAATTAAAAATATTTCACATAATTTTATTTATTTGCAACAGCTGATTGACAACGCGCGCAAAAAGATGAGAGATGCCCATCTTTTTGTGGGCGTTAGCTTTGGCGTTGGCGTTGCCGTTGATATGTGGACATGTCCATATAATTGTGTGTATTCATAGTCAGCTGTTAATCAACGCCAACGCCAAAGCCAACGCCAAAGTTCTATGTGGACCGGCCTTTAATGTTTAACCTTTAATTAGAAAGTTTTTGTTAAATTAATACCATGTGCATACACTCAAGAACCACTTGTTTCAGCCCCAACCATTTCTGTGTGCAACTTCCGTGTGCAATTTCCGTTGAATTTGCCAATTTACTTCCAACCAACCAACCGCCGCTAAAGAACTTTCTCTTCAATAAATATCTACAATATAAATATCATATTTTCGGAGCTGTTGGAATGGACGATATTCCGAGCAGCACAGTACATATACTGGGCGGTTGGAAAGGACTAACAGAATCATGCTGCTGTAATGGATGTAAAGGACCAGGTTCTTAGCCTTCTACCTCCTCATTTATAGGCAGGCAATCAGAATGGAAGAGATCCAGAGTCGTACTGCTGGAACGGATGGAAAGGACTAGTTTCCATACCAATCCTTGCTACCTATTAGCTATGTAGCATGCCTATGGGGTCTTTCTTAAGCTCGTAAAAGCCTCGTAAAGCTCGTAAATTTACGAGGCATATTTGATGCGCAAACGACCTCGTAAATTTCAGTGTTGCCGAAATTTTTAAACTAATAACTAACTAATAAACTATGATAAAATAATGAAAATAAATGAGAAAAATAATACGTGAATGAAATGAATGAATTTCATCCCCTAACTGTATTGACTTAGGTTTTCTGCTAATTTTCGGCATTTTCGAATGTATTTTAGCCAAGAGTGATAAAGACACGATGGCGGGATGTTATGGAAACTAATATACGAAACAAAAATTGCTTCACAAAATCCTGGTATATCCATCAAACAGTCACTTTACGGCCCGTCTCCACAGGCAAAAGTTTTTGCCTACCAACTGTCATTTTTATTGCCTGATAAAAATTTTATCAGAGGCAATATTTGTGCGTGGGCATTTTTTATCTTGATAAAAGCATTTG